GAACGTGCACCCCCTTTTCCTGTCACCAGTGGGGTGCGACAAGGTTGCCCTATCTCTCCGTTCCTCTTCAACTTTGCCATAGATGATATCTTACAAAACTCGTTACATAGCGTAACAAACGCTGGCGTCGAGCTTCATCCTGGAGACAGGGTGGTAGATTTAGAGTATGCCGATGATATTGCTTGACTGGATGACAACGCGCCGACGATTCAAGAGTCGTTGAACCGTTTGGCAATTGAGGTTACTCTCTGTGGTATGTCCTTTGCACCTTCGAAGTGCAAGTTGTTGTTGCAAGATTGGCAGGAACCCATTCCTGCACTTTTGTTGGGTAGTGACACTCTGGAAGTAGTCGAAAGCTTTGTCTTCCTTGGGAGTTGCATAACGGCTGGCGGAGGTGTGGGCGAAGAGGTCTGTCAACGCGTGATCAAAGGTAGATTAGCGTTTAGTAATCTGCGGGGTCTCTGGCGCCGGTGCGACTTACCCCTTTCACTGAAAGGGCGTGTGTATTGCGCAATGGTACGCACCGTGTTGCTGTATGGCTGTGAGACCTGGCCTCTCGGGGCAGATCACGTTCACGAGCTATTAGTCTTCGACAACCGCTCTCTGCGCAATATCGCAGGCGTATGGTGGGAGCATCACTTGAATAACGATGAAGTCAGACGATGTGTGCTAGGATCAGACAGTCTTCCTTTGAGCAAAATGATTTCACAGCATCGTCTTAGGTGGCTAGGGCACGTGTTACGAATGCCTGAGCACCGTCTGCAACACCGTGCACTATTGGCAGAGATTGTTCGAGACTGGAAGAAACAGCGAGATGGGCAGGTTATGGCGTGGCGCAGAGGGTTAAGGAGATTGTGCTGGGATCTGGCTTCCGTTGGGGTTTTCCGGCCCCGCGGCTGGGGCCCGCGAGATTGAGATTGTCTTTGGCTGGAGACACTGCGGGATATGGCATCGAACCGAAGTGAGTGACGCGAATGTATCCTCTCATGTTCGCCATTCCAAAAGTGAACAAAAACGAAAAAAAACTCAACATGGCGTGCAGTTAAACAGACAAAAAAATTGTTACTCTCCGAAGTTGACTGTTTTGTTTTCCCCGCTTTTGTACCTATATTTCTTTTCGCTCATCCATGGTTATTTGGCACCGTATATGTAAAGATTGGTGTGATATATATATATATATATATATATATATATAGTTTTAAGCAGACCTAAGATTGTCAAATTCAGACATATAATACCACTTGGGCACTAGACTCCTTGTAGGAAGGAGTAACGCATTGTGCGATTCGAGTATAATAAGAGCCGAGTACGGGGCAAATAAAACGAAAAATGAAATCCTGTGCGCACATGGTTGGGCATCAACAGCAGTGAGAGTTCATTGACTCAAGTGACCATTCAGTCCACAGTCTAACAGGCTTTTGTATCACACTAAATCGTCTGAGGAACCGTGGAAGGGTAGAGTCCATAGTGCGGAGGACCTACCGTTTATTTGTCGTGTGCGTCAATCTCCGCCACGAGAGTAGAGGATCGTTAAAGCTACAAGTCAAATGGACACTGTATCGAGCCTAACCGCAGCACAATCGCTTGCTCTAGAATTGGGTTAGCGGTGTCTGCAATTTTTGTTCACCGATTTCTTTCTCATTGCAACTTTCATGAAATAACCATCCCGATACGCAGCCTGAATAGTCAATCTTTTCGTACTTCATTGCAGCGATGATTCGAATACCCCTAACCACTATTCTTTCGTATGCTGATATACTGATTCTCATTCCGTTCCGTCTGTCAATTTATCAAAACACACACACATACAGGGGTTTCACCCACGGAACTTCGAGTGAATGGGAATGTATCATTATCCAACTGGTTAATGCAACGTCTGGCGGACGTAACGAATATTCCCGTCCAACGAAGTGAATTTGTCGATTCCAG